TCTATGGGCTTTCGGCCATGGTGCTGCCCACTAGGTCCGCGACGATACTCCCGTCGACCTTCATTTTCGATAAAGGCCGCCTGCAAAAGCTGAGGTCTGACGCTATGGACGCAGTCTGCCTAAACATATGCATGGAGTACCAGAGGACACTTGGTTCAGGGGCCTCCCCACCGTGCAGCTCGGCCTGCACCTTTACGCCTCACTCGTTGAATTCGGCGCCAGAGGCGGCTGGGGAGTCCATCAAATCGGCGGTGTACGCATCCCTCGTTGCCCTGCTTCGGACTATCCAACCGGCGGTATCTCCGCAAGAAAAGTGGCAAATACTTGTGCCAAAGGTAGCGGTGGAAATTAGGCTTTTCAACAAATTACCCGAAGATATGCTCCCGTATATCGAACAAAACCTTTGGTCACGGCTTCAAACCAACGTGTTTGTGGAGGCCGAAAAATCTTTCCACCAGGACCTATTCGGCGAGCTGGCAGACCGCGTCTGCAAGTTCAGGAATCTCTCGGAACTAGACCTATTTTCGACTGCGACCGGAAACCAGCTTTACAGCGTACAGGACGGGGCCTTCGAAACTAAGAGACTTTTTCTCGATGGTGACGCGGCGGCGCCGGGTCAGGGCCCCTCTCACTTGCATGGCGTCGAAAACATGGCAACACGCCTGGCGCACCTGGGCCTGCTGCACTGGCGGGTCTGGGCAGATATCGCCTACGTCGAGGCCTAGCTTGTGTCCTCTGTCGAGGTAGTTAGACAGAGAGACGCCTCTCATCTCTGCCAAAAAGCCAGCTGATGGAAGGATTGCGGGAGTCCTTGTAAGGAGACTGCCCTAGATAGGAACAACGATACACTTTTTGGTGCTCAGAAAGTCTGATACCGAGGACCGCTAAAGCCACGGATCAGATGCCCGGCATATCGGTTGACAGGCCTTATCATTTCAGCCGCACGAATTAGCACCCGCCCCAGGTTCAGCAAATAAATCTGCCCACACTTGCGTGCTCGCCCATTTGAATGAACTTGGCTAGTGACAAAAAATAGATTTTGGTAGCTGGCATCACCCTGAGCACTGAAGCGGGGCTCAGCCAGCGACGGCACATCCGGGCCCTTCCACCACCCCTCTAGGCGCCAAAAACGTCACTAGCCCCACCTGTCAGCCGCAAGGCACTGTTACGGCGCGGCGTGCCCTCCGTGCACTTGCAGCCTTGTCTCTCGTGCGCGTTGGGTGTATGAGACCCCTATCGCAATCAGAACAGCGGTCCTGATTGTCCTGGCTTTTTAGTAGAGATGGGAGGGGTCTCTCTTTGTCTAATCGCCTTGACAGGCACTCTGGATCAGCCGCAAGACATTCTCTCTGAAGGATCTACAGGGCTCATGTACTATAAGGGCAGCCTGTGACACAGAAATTCCAGAGAAGTAGAGAGAATACAGAACAATCTTTTT